CACCAGAAAAACTTCGTGCGCAGCGCCCGCCACCACTTGCACTTGCGCGCCGTAACGTCTCTGCACTGGCTCTACCTTTAGAAAAGATATGTTCCCAGGCGGCACCACGAGGAGGTTGCAGAGTCCGAATTTCGCCGCCCGCTATGAACAAAGGAAGGGGCCGGGAATGTGTGAAAGGCGAGTCCATGATATGACAGCCGCGGTCAGTAGGTACACCGCGCCTGCCACGCCGAGAAGCAGGATCGGGAACATAATCACTCAAGAAAAACCAGCTAATGAAATGTGGGAAAGATCATGGCCCAGCCCGAAGTCTGAGGTTGGAGGGAGCGGTGAGACATTGTAAAGTTAATCGAGAGATAAGAAGTCTGAATAAGTGACAGGAAGGACTTTGATTGCTCTGGATGTCTAAAGACTGCAGACCTTGGCTTTATTCAACGCCCCAATTGGCTATAGTATCTCTTGTCATCCGGCCTTTAAGGATCAGTTTAGGCTAGATCCTATTCTCATGTCGACTGATATCGTCTGCAGGTTCGTTGTGTCCTACGCAGTGAGGGCTGAAAACTTCGCCTGCTGAAAATTTCATTCTCTTTTGGGTGGAGAGGAGCCACCACAAAACCGACTATGCCGTTCTGAACTGAAACCTACAAACGACTTGACTTGAGAAACAGGGGCGCAAATGATGATTATTTAATAAACGAACAGGTGTGATATTGTTGATTTGCCCAACAGATTGAGAGCATATTTGCGATAGCATCTTTATCGAATGTACATATAGTCTTTAGCTACAAGCACAGTCAATCCCTAGTTAATGGAGATCAAAGTGAAAATCCGAGCAAGGCCTTCGTTTTAGAGGCAGAAATGGGTCAAGAAGGTACGGAACTGTTTATTCAAGGAAGTAGGATTGGCAACGATTGAAAAGAATATGATAGTTGCTTTGGTACTATGAACGATCATCTTTTTGCTTTCAATGGAATCAGAGTGGTTCTAGCTGGGTTTTTCATTCCGGGTAAGGGACTCCTGATAAGTGACGGAATACTACTTGAAAAGGTGAAGAAGTGAAGATTTACAATTGCTAGCCTCCTGATGGGAGGCTCAGATTTGTGACCTAAAGCATAGTCGCAGTCGCCACGAAAGGCTGCCGTGCGAGGTTTCCATGACTTCCGTCTCTCTCTACAGCACGCATTAAGACTCTTTTCGTCATACAAGTGTGTGAAAAACTTGTCATCAAACCACTTCACTCACGTAGCTCCCAACCGACGGGACCTCTGACTTCCTGTTTCGTGTCCCCTCCAGCGTAAACCTAGACTCAAGCGTTTTGTCCATACTATGCTTGCGAATCACCAAGCTAGTGATGAATCCAGAAGCAGCCGTTGCCGTCATTACCCAGAACACGCCCTGGAACCCTTTCACGTAAGCGGACAAAGCTCCAAGCCGTACCGGATCCCAAGAGGCCATGCCAGCCAACTCGGTTGCAAATGCTTCGGCATTCTGAGCAATAGTCTCAGGCAGCCCGAGCTCGCGCAATCGATTGACCATGACATTCTGGAATGCAGTGCCTCCGACCGCGACGCCAACGCTCATTCCTAGCGTGCGCATAAAGGCGTACATACATGCAGCTCGACCGCAGTCTTCGATGCGGCTGATGGCCTGGGTACCGACGTTGACGCTCGTGAGTATCATGCCATTTCCGATGCCGAAAATGGCGAAGTAGATGGCCCACAATGCGGTCGTCGTATTCTCGTCCAACAAGACAAGCAAGCCGCATCCTACCGTCGCAAGAGCCCAGCCTGACCAGATCGCCCAGCGGAAGCGGCCAAGCCGTGAGGTCAGCACGGACACGACAATAGAGCCCGGAAGAAGGAGGCAGGTTACAGGAAAGAGGTTGAGACCTGACTGAGTGGGCGTAACAAAGCGGACTGAGATGAAGTAAAACGGGACGTAGTATAGCCCGCAGAAGAGGAGGAATCCTTGGCAGAAGGCTCCGAAGTAGACGGCCACCGCGGACCAGGAGTAGAAAAGAGAAGGGCGGAAGAAAGGCTCTGTTGCGCCGTATTTCTCCCAGAACAGGCAGGCGGATACTGCTACAGCGCCAACAATGATGGGAGCAATGGTAGCTGCGGAGGACCATGTGAACTGGACACCGGCCCAGGAGATGCCAATGAGAAAGCTCGTCATGCCACCAATGAAAAGGAGACCGCCTATTCCATCAACTCGGAGGAGCTTAGAGCAAAATGAAGCCTTTTCCGCGGAAAGACGGACAAATAGAGGCACCATAATGAAGCCAAGAGCGCAGAATGGCAACTGTGAGGTACCAACGATGTCAGAGAAATGACGGATCTCACATTGAGAATCAAGAATCTCACTCACATTTATGTAAAAGCACCATTTTCATGTCGCTTTCTGCACAAATAGCCCGCCGACCAGTGGTCCTAGCACACTCCCAAGAGCCCAGGCACCCAGTACAAAACTGAAGTACTTGGGTCTCAACCTCAATGGGACGATATCTGCGAAGATCATCTGGCCCATTGTTATGATGCCACCACCACCTATCCCCTGCAGGGAGCGTCCAGCCAGTAAGATAGTAAAGTCGCGTGCGAAAGGGGCACAGAGAAGGGTGCCAAGGGTAAAGAATGCGAGGGAAACAAGGAGCAGCTCTTTGCGGCCGAAGATGTCAGAGAGAGAGCCGATAAATGGCTGGAAAACGGCGCAAGGTAGTAGATAGGATGTGCCAGCCCAGAAGGCATCGGTCGCGGAGCCGTGAAGGTCGAGGGCAAGGTCCTGACGCACAGATTTGGGGTCAGTATGGTAGTTCAGAGAGAAAAGATAATCGCGGAACGAAAGGAAAGGCAGCCTCCTACAGATAGGACTGGAACTAAGATTGTAGCATCTAGAGCTACCATTAGAGAAATGACAGATATGGTGGCCATGACAGCGTATTCTGCCCGACCTGGCTTCCACTCTAGCTCTTGTTCTTGGTGTTCATTCGCGGTTAAGGTCGTTGTTGTGGACGTGTCTAGCGACGTGACGTGCTCTCTTGGTGATCCTGAGTTTTTGGAAATGATAGACAACATCATGATAATGAAGAAAGAGTAACTGGGGAATGATGTTTCTCAATGGTGCTTGAACGGAGGGGGGCAAGTTTCTGTGATGTTATAAAGATCTGGGGAACCGGATTCACGAGCCTCAAGGGGAACTGATCAAAAGATCTCAAGAATAGCCTGTAGACACATAACATTTAACTTCAACACATCTCATATGAAATTAGACATTAGAAGGAGTCTCAAGACTGGGCCTTTGTTTCGTTATTGTCTCGATATTACAGGCTGATACGGCTGTTCGCGGTATAATTTGAAGAAACCCATAGCAACCACACTGATAGCAAACAAGATGAAGATGCCGATCTTGGCACCATCTCCGTGAGCCCTGAGACATGCCCATATTACTTTCGATATGGATGTTTCCTCCCTTGAAAGTCGCACCCGAAAGCAGCCGCTCAACCATTGAAAATATGAGCTGTATCCTCCTCGTGGCGGGCGCTAAGGTAAGCCAGTCTCAGTGCTTAAAGAGATCAGGGTTAGACACATCGTGCCACGACCCAAACGAGTGGGAAATCTAGATGTCCTTCGAGAAAAGAAGATGCAGTTCTAGATTCAAGGCTTCTTCGCAATCGATCAACTGAGAGCTTACGAGTCTTCATTTTGTTCACCAATCACCAGTTCAATGCCATAATATTTTGACATTTACTTTGCCCTGTTCCATAGGTAGCCGTATCCCGGAAGCAGTGTTGTGACCCGGTAGATTGGGTCGTGCTCCACCAGATAGAGTTAACGACCGCACCCGTAAGACATTGTCCGATTTTCTTACCAGCCAGGCGGGCCTGCCCCAAGCCACGCAGCGCCTAGGCCCACTGAGCATCCTCACACTTCCAAGCGCCTGCCAAGCGCCTCTGCTGTGGCTGGCTGGCTCGTCCGGCTCGCAGACCTGGCTGACGCCTCATCCAGGACCTGGATAACAGCGCCTGCCACCATCCGTCCTTTATCTGGCTCCCATGCCAGCCGCTCATTGGTCAAGTTCCGAGAGCTGCATCTTGGATGCTCTTCTCAATGGCGATAGCTGAGCTCAGTGCCATGGCACTCTATGTGTTGAACTCGACGCGATAAGCGCGAATTGTAAGCGTTGTGCCCCAGCTTGTTCTGGAAGAGGCTGGCGCGGCACAATCTCCCAATTTCGAAGAATTTGAAGAATGTTTGCAGTGTCGGCAGTGCCACCATAAGCCTTCCGTGCTCCTTTAAGCGACTGACTGCATGTTGATATCGGCTGTTGCAGGTGAATTCAATGGCTGTACAAGCCGTGAGTAATGTTGTAAAGCTCACTACAGTCCAATTCCTTCCATTTTAACTTAAAGTGTGAAGCGACCTTCCTTCAGTCACGGATATTTCATGACGAGCGTCGGACACAAAAGTACTGCACCAAGAGTTACATAACCGAGGGTTGTTCTCTATCTGCCTTGCTTTGCTCTCATCCCTGTTTCTATTTATTCTCTCTTAAAGCAATCTTTATCCTCATGGGCAGATCTTCAACTTCCTGGGCCCTGTTAGGCTTCAAAGCCCTCGCACCATCAATATTCATCCAAGAAGCTCCTCGGTGTTCCTCGTCTGTATCCTCAACATCTTCAGACCTCAGCTCTATCTCTTTGGAAAGCACCAATGAAGAAAGTCCTACGCTTATCGTCCTCACCTCCTGGACGGGTGCAGACCCGGGAAACGTTGCCAAGTACACGAAGAGATATAACGAGATCTATCCGAAGACCACGATCATGGTCATTACGACGGTAATACATGATCTTGTATTTCGCTCAACCAAAGAGAAGGTTGCTACGCTAGAGCCGGCTGTCGAGTTCCTCCGAAGTCATGTCAGCACACAGTCTAAGCGACCTACCATGTTACTACATGCATTCTCAGAGGGAGGATCGAACAAGGCCGTCTGCCTTGCCCGAGCATACCTGGGTGCTACGGGTTGTCGATTACCCGTGGGCGCTTTCATTTTTGATAGCACACCAGGCAGGCCACGGTTCTCGTGTAATGTGGCCGCCTTCAAGAGGTCACTGCCTCGCAACAAGGTTGTCCGTGCTGTAGGCTTCCCCGCTGGCGCTGTTGTGTTGGGCATGGTGTATGGAACGTATCATGTGCTGAAGGGGCCTGAGAATAACGTGATCTCTCAGACGCGCAAGGCACTGAATGATGAGTCGCTGTGGCCTGTTACGAGCGCACCCCGGACGTATGTCTTTTCTGAGGCGGATGATCTGATTGGATGGGAAGATATCGAGGACCATGCATGGGAGAGTGCTGAGCTTCTAGGGCTGGACAGCATGCTGCTTCGATTCAGAGAGACTGGGCATTGCAATCATGCTCGAGGGAATGAGGATGAGTACTGGACTGCCGTGATGAAGACTTGGGAAGCGCGTGATTTGTAGGAACGTACTTTCATTATATACAATCTTTATTTGTACTAAGAAACATTCAACCCCTTCTCAACACTTACCGCCGGTTTTGATGCTAGGAACCGACCAGATTTACACTCCAGTGTGTCAACATGCGTCAAGTCTGGACAACCGTCCCCCTCCAACCGTCCTCCTCTGCAATCATAAGCAGACGTCTTTGGAGCGTGGACTATTCCAATGTTGGGTGCTGGACATGCAGTGAATATCTGAATCGGTTTAAAATCAAGCTTTTTTTGATGCATATACTTGCTCTAACAAGACAAATTACATCGTTGCTCTTCGCAGCTACGCTATAATGCGGATATATCTCTCACGAGAGGCTTCATCTGGAACTGTGGCACTCACGCTGCCAGATCAACGGCGGTACTGGCATTGATGTTATACTTTAATCAGTCTAGAACACGTTTTGCGATATTCATAGTAAGATAGCAGATGCATCTTCTGGAGCCGTTGCCTGCGATTTCTATGAACGCTTGACCGACGACATCGCTTTTCTCAAGGAGCATGGAGCCAACGCTTATCCATTCCACGCAGACAATAGGTCAGAGCGTGCCGTATGTCACCGTTTCATAGAAAGGTTCGTAGACTCGATCTACTATAGATGTTATCCCGCTACTATGAAGTAGCAGCTAGGCAGTCACCTTCCAACTTAGCAACCAGAAGGTATCAAACTTCACAAGGGCGGTAGGAATATTTGCACCTTTAATGACTACTCGACTCGAGTTATGAAGCACAAGGGAGTGCCACCTTCCCTGTATGACTGCATGAGAAATGTCGAAGTCTCTTGACATAACGTTAAAGGCGAGCAAGTCGATCCTGAATCTGACCTGTGTTCCACGCGTTCAAACCCGGAGTGGTTGCATTATTCGATGAACTGTATCGCCGACTGATACTGAACCAAGATCCACATTGTCTAGTATGGCCCTAGCATCAAGGGTGAGGAATGCCACGCCCATCAGCAAGGTACTTGACGATTAATTTACATGCGACTTCTATTGCGATCACATTGAAGCCGTGATCAAAGGCCATGTAGAATGCAGGATGGTTGTGATGACGTATATTGCTCGGAGGCTTTTGGATAACTTCAATTGGGCGGATGGCTGCGACACACGCATCGATGTACTTGGGTCGACTTCGGAGACAATCAGAGACGGCATTCAAAGAATATCGCTCAATTGATACGAGATTTCGTCACGGCGATCTTGGAGCAAGGTTGGTCATGGGTGACTGGATCAACACATGGGAGCGATGTCGATAATTGAAGATGAGATCATTTACCATGTTCCTGTACGTCCTGCTGCCTGCGTGGGGGTTGCAACAGGCTGTTGATCGATTGGAACATCAGGAACGTTTCTTTGCCTTAACCCGAGCGACTATCTAAGTGGTTGAATTAGTAATGGTACCCGACGTTATTGTAACATGGCAATATCAAGCATATTGCACAACCCAAATGTCAAAACCTTAATCGCCATTTTCATAACGTATTTCTGCTTCTGAATGTTGGCTCGAATACGGGTGCTGTAATACGGGTGCTGTAATACGGGTGCTGTCTTTCTCTTCTTGCAATAAAGTCTTTCTGGACGATGATTTCTATGTTCCCGACCGTCATAGCGTGTCTCTCCAAATACTAATGCCACAGATCGGAGGCTCCAGCATCCTTGACATCTCCAGTAGAGGCAATTCAAGGGCCATGTCTTTAACCTTCCAGCCAATGCGACTAGAGTTAACAAACGGGCGCCACTCGCATCCAGGATGATCAAGTAGTTGGACACCA